TGGGTGTTCTTAACAAGATTTCAGAACGTTGCAGAAGTTAGAAGAGCTTCACAATTCCATTGTGACAGCATGCCCTAATTCTGAATTACGAATGATCCATGACGATCCTTCGCGATGCAGTGGTCTCATGAAATAAGGAAACGTATATATTCGTGCTAGGAACACATGCGTATTTCGGACGAATAAATTTTGTTTGTATTTTGTAGATAATAAATTAATACTTTGTTTCATAATAAACAATTTGTCAAGTGTCATTTATTTATTACAGGGCTGCCAACTCTCCCGGATTATCCGGGAGTCTCAAGATTTTGGACCTAATCTCCCAGTCTCCAGATTTTGTCTTAATTCTCCCGGATTAGGATAATCACCAACGTCGATTTATGCACTAGCCATTTGATTCTTCGTTGTCAAAGGTTTTAACAATAAAAATTATTTGCGCTGCACATTCGTTTTGCTGGTAAAAATAAAATTCTTTTGTTGCTGCCTGCGTTGCTTTTAATCAGCGGTTGAATGGCGCCATTTTCCGTAAACACTTTATCTTACAGGGATTTTTTACCCGTATTGACGCCATTAAAGATGTCGATATTTTATTAAACTAGTACATAATATATATTGTGAAACTTGAAATCAACAGTTATTCAGGCAATTTATAGTTAATATTCGACTTTTTGTGTGTTCGGAAAAAATTTTTGACCCCTAAAATGGTACACTGACCGAAATTTTTTTGGCGACGGGGGGGGGGAGGTCGGCGAAAAAAAAATTCATATTCCAGGGTTGGCAGCCCTAATATTGGTAATAGTGCATGTTTCATTCGGGCAAATCTTGATTAATATTTGATACGCCGTTTTTTGCATATTTCAGACACATCCAGAAATATGCTCCCGATTTTAAAGATTAATATCTCCGTGAATTTTTAAGTGAAATACAACTGTAATATATCAAAATCTAAGTTAGGCCTTCCTCTATTTAATGCAAGTTATTTCTCTAAAAAAGCTTTACTTGTTTAGAAGTTATTACGAATCAAACAGGCGTACTTTTTTTTGGGACATCCGGTATACTATTTAATGTAAAACTCTAGAAAGATTAAATATATATATTGCACAAATACTTGAAAAAGAGCAACCAAGTTTCCCGAAACGTTGTAATTTTAACATTTCATCGGTTTTAACTTGGGTTTTAATCTTTTTAGACTACGTTCACTGAACTACACTGGAGCGAAATAATACGTTCCGTGTGTTCAACGCTGCGCTGTTACACTTTGTTTACAAATTTAATAAATTAGCACTCGTGTAACCCAAAATATTTCAAATAGAGCAAATAAATTGAAACGAAAAGCATTCGAATTTATTGTTTTAACACCTGAGATGCTTGGTTTGCAAGCGGTACAAAAAATAACGGCGTTTGTGTTGACACGAAGCCGCCAAACGCTACGTTTTCATCTCGTGCCGTTTAGAAACCGTGCCCAAATTGTTACGGCAAAAATGACGTTTTCACGGCAAACAATTTCGCTTCGGCGTCAGTGTTAACGCGACGGCTATAGTTTTTTACTTTTTGGTATCGTTTTCAAACTGCTCCTGTGAATATAGTCTAAATTGAATTCCGATTAAATATTAAATAAAAAATGTTTAGAATGAGAGGTTTAGAAAAACTGGTAATAGTGTTCACTCGTATAATCCAGAGATCGGAATGTTCCAATGGCAATGTATATATACTTTATTACTTATAGTATTGCGTTTTCAGCGACACCTATACAGACTAGCTCCCTATGCACCTAGCAAACGATTATTGACTAGTAGTGTAATATCGTAGAGGTTATATAAGTGAATATTCCTATAAAACACTCGGTGTAAAATAATTAATTGAAATATATATGCGTAATAAAAACTTGATCAATTTCCCTATCCCGGTTTTAGAAATAGCTCTTCGAAGCAATTTGGGGCAGTTGTACTCATTGAATTCGGTTTCTTGCATGCATGCATGCATGTAGGTATTTATTGATATTTTCAGGCCAAAGCCTCCCTACAATTGTAAAGAAACAACAGCGAAAAATAAGGTCTTCACAATGACGCAAAATACTTTGCTATTCAGTGTGTGAAATGTGGATTTTTTGGAAGCAGAAACGCGTGCGTAATCTTTATACTTTAGGCATAATCGTTCGAAAGAAGCAAATTTATAAAAAAAAATCCTTCGGTCAAAGTTTCTGAAATTTTGTAGGTGCAAAGGGAATATCTAGTGGAAGATTATATAAAAAAATTAGGGGGGGAGGGGATAAATTCAGGTTTTGAGATATTACGTGAAATCTGTTTTATAGCCGGAGTTTTTAAAAATTGAGCATGTTGCAATACATTGCTAGTACTTTTAAAATACAATATTTCAAAAAAGTGACCGAAGGAAAAAAATTATTGCATTACAAATCTTGCGCGGTCAAATGCGATTTTTGCCGACGTAATAAAATTTCAACTCGACAAGATTGCGTCATTTCTTTACCAGTCCCATGCTTAAACAACTGTAGAGAGCCACCTTCAGCAAAAGCGTTGCTTGGATTTGGAATCGTTGCACATAAGGTAATTGCTAGATAGTATACTTCAAAATAAGGTTTCCGTTTTATATCTGAATTTTTAAAATAAGTTAGGGTTAGGTTAGTCGGTTGGGGTTTTTGTTAGGGTTAGGTTTCCGTTTTTATATCAATTTTTAAAATAAGTTAGGGTTAGGTTAGGGTTAGGGTTTAGGTTAGGGTTAGGTTGGGGTTAGGGTTAGGGTAAGGGTTAGGGTTAGTATTAGGGTTTAGTTTTTGCGTTAGGATACTTCTTTCTACGTTATAAAAACGAAAATCTTATTTTGAAGTATACTATCTAGCGATCACCCTATCTGCCCTGATGCTCAGGCTACTGTAGCCTTATTAGCCTGAGCTACAGAGTCAGCTGTCGAGCTCTAACCACAATTTCATGTATAAATACTATTCTAAGGTGATGCCAAATGCCAATCTAAGGTGTATGGGTAACTATAAGATTTTGGGCATCTCATTCGATGCAACTACTTGTTGAAAGGTTTTGTAGTTAGGAAATTCCGTTCTACAGGGTGTCCCCCCAAAACAGTCCCAGTTTAGAAATCACCCTTGTGCGTTATTATACCTTTGGGAATTTAATTTAATTGTACACACGTAAAAACGCACAAGTTGTAACAGACTTGCAGCAGACTTGTGGCAATTAATGTTGTTCCAAAAAAACAGGATATTGTTGTCAACAAGATGTGTTCGTACTGCTTGTTCCCAGTTTGTTGACAAGGTGTCAACGACTTGTTGGCAACTTGCTACAAGGTTGTTGAGCTCAACAGACTCAGTTGTTCCAACAACTTGTTATCGTCCTGCAATTCAACAATTTGTCAACAAGTTGTGAGTGACAACCTTGTAGCAACTTGATAAAATAACAGCATTGTTACAACTTGTTGACAAGCTTGCTACAAGCCTGTTGCGAACACATCTTGTTGACAAGTCGTGAGATTTTTACGTGTGTAGGGCCCTACATGAATGGCGGAAGTATTTTACAACTTCCCTTCGTCCAAATGATTTAACACTTGGTTACACTTTAGCGGTTAACGTATGAGTTGTTACGACAAATACTCGTTGCTCTGTAGTCAGTTGAATCATTCTTACTCGAACTATGCTCGAACTGACGGTAAGACGAATTTGTAATTTGACATTTTTATGTTGCTGTTCGTTTTAGAAGCTATTTTAAATTCCCAGAGCTATAACAACGAACGTTTAAAAACAAAAGAGTGACTTCCACAGTCTATACTGGGGACATCCTGTATAATAAACGTATAGAATTTACACTAGAAATTTTCCTGTACAAAATCCTTTTGCGGCTGGATTTAGTTATGTCTAGATCGTTCTAAAACTGCAGGGATGCTTCGATTAAAATTCTTATGCTAAACAATTTCTAAAGAAAAAATACCGAATCGCATGAATGGTTTGCATAGAATTTGAAATTCGTCTCAATACACGAACTAAGATTTGGCGACGTGTCCATCGCACGAAATCGACTTAAATTTTGAACCAAACTTCGCCTTCGGTAACAACTTTTACTCGTTATGGCGTTGTCAAGAAATGCTATGTTGGTGTGGTGTTTTGTCGTACTAGCTGTAAGCTGGGCCGAAAATGTATGTACGGTATTATGTTGATATTTCTGTCGACTATATATATTTATTAATAAGTTTCGTGATCCAAGTATGAAGGCCGATTGGCGATTTACAATACACAATTTTTGCCTAAAATTCTCGGCATGCAACTTGCTTACAACTTGAGTTGTACTGTGTAAATCAATCACACAACCCACCTATGACACTATTACCACTAAGTTTTCAAAGTGACAATATGATATGTTACTTTGGCTTTTCATTACTATCAAGTTGTCATTCGTGGCAAATAAATTAACTAGAGAACGTATAATTTCGTTCTATTATCGTCAAAAGTTCTGAGATTGATCACCATGTATCCTCTTGCCCCAAAACGCTTACTAAACCCTTCAATATACCATTAGTTGCCGCCATGCGCACGTACAAACACACAAGTTGTAACAAACCTGCAGCAGACTTGTAGCAATGCTGTTCCAACAACTTGTCAACAGGATGTGTTCGCACTGCTTGTTCCCAGCTTGTTGACAACTTGCTACAAGGTTGTTGAACTCAACAAAATTGTTACAAGTTGTTCCAACAACTTGTTATCGTTCTGCAATTCAATAAGTTACGAGTGACAACCTTGTAGCAACTTGATGAAATAACAGCATTGTTGACAACTTGCTACAAGGTTGTTGCGAACACATCTTATTGACAAGTTGCGAGATTTTTACGGGTATATCCCCCCTGTCCCAATATACATTAGTTGCCACCATATTATAGGTAAAAATACCATGGCCAGCCGAGGTCTAGGCCTAGGTCTAGGCTGAGGTATAAGGACTTGATTAAAAGCCTGGTTTCCATAAGGCCGTAACGGTCGTAAAGATTGATTCACGATCTTTCTCATCAGCCGAAATACAACATTTTAGAACTGAAAATACGCGAAGTGATTATAACTAGAGAACGCTTATGATTTATATGTGGTTTACAGGTATAAACTATTATAAACTTTTATAAATTTTTACGACCATTATAATGGAAACCGGGCCGGCTTAACGACACTCAATTGATCAATACATACTCGTCAATATCCTTTGTAAAACAATCGAGTGAAATATTTTCATGGTATTTGCATTAATGTTATTAATTAGTTATTCTTTATGTGGTTTTATTATTTAGAATGATCACGTTATGGATTCAAAACGTAAGTTCAAAAATGTCCGAGTCATTTTAGGCGAGGCCCAGACTAGAGTAAAGACCGCAGTCGGCTCTGATTTTCTGGCCAAGGACCAGTCGGTCTCTGATTTTCTGGCCAAGGACAGGCCTTGGCAAAACTTTGCATTGTTTACGCAGCAAAAATGTAGACCAAAGCAAGACTCACATCAAAGCTCACAGTTTAAACATGTCGGCTATAATATACACACGCAAAAATCTCACATCTTGTAGTAAGTCTGCCAGCAAGCCGTCAACAAGTTGTGTTCGCACTGCTTGTCCCAAATTGTCAACAAGTGTGGAACAAGCTGTTAACAATATGTTGTAACAATCGTGTTGATATTATCAGACTTGTTGCAAGGTTGTTCCAACAAGTCCGATACAGTCATGATATAAGAATATTGTTACAACCTTGTGTCGTCAACCTTGTAACATTCTTGTTATATCATGACTGTATCAGACTTGTTGTAACAACCTTGTAACAAGTCTGATAATGCCATCAAGCTTGCTACAAGTTGTTAACAGCTTGTTCCAAACTTGTTACAACAACTGGGAACAAGCAGTGCGAACACAACTTGTCGACAGCTTGTGAACAGATTTGTAACAACTTGTTTGCAAACTTGTAGCAACTTGTGCGTTTTTACGTATCTAGACTAAATCTCTCACGACTCTCAGTTTGTCAACAACATATGTTCGCACTGCTTATTCCCAGTCGTTATCATCTTGTAACAAGGTTGATGAGGCCAACAGTCTCGCAAAAAGTTGTTCCAACAACCAACAAGTCTGATATCGTCTGCACGTGACAAGTTGTTAACAAGTTGATGACAACAAGCTCGTAGCAACTTGTTACGAACAGCCTGTATTAGTCTTGTTGGAACAACTTGTAGCAAGTCTGTTACTTGTTTGCTAAAACAATTATAAACCTATATCAAATCTTTGAGTTAATACTTTTATTCTACTTATCGATCGCATATACCAAAGGACTACTTTTAAAACGTTCCGTAAAACATTCGCATCAGATCTTTATGTAATATGCAAGCTCGAGCCGAAAGCGAGAGTTTGTATATCAGATTAAAATCGGATGCAAATGTTTTAACGTGCTTAAAAAACAACCCATCTTATGAGTCAGGACAAATCTTTATCCGATTTATAAACATTAATTAAACATTAATTTCTTTTGAATTTTCTTCTTGAATTATTAATGAGTTTTTAAGTAAAAATTTTAAGTAAGATTATATTACTATTCGTTCTTGTTTCTCTTTTTTCAGAACGCTATGAGAAAATGCATGAGCACTATGATGGGTTGGGCGATGCAGGTGAGAAGGATGGTTTAGTGTCGTATAAAGAGATCAGGAGAGCACTGGGTACCACCACTGAAGAGGAATGGAAGAAGGAAATTGAACCTCATGATGACGGAGATAAACTACTTAATCCTGCAGGTCTGAGCAATGCACACAGTTTTATTTTCAAACTTTAAATACATTTTCCGGTTGCAATAGAAACATGAATGTCAGATGCGGTTAGCGTGCTCACAGCAGAGTTAAACCTGCTATTGTACACACTTAAAAACGCACAAGTTGTTACAAGTCTGCAAACAAGTTGTTACAAATCTGTTCACAAGCTGTCGACAAGTTGTGTTCGCACTGCTTGTTCCCAGTTGTTGTAACAAGTTTGGAACAAGCTGTTAACAACTTGTAACAAGCTTGATGGCATTGTCAGACTTGTTACAAGGTTGTTCTAACAAGTCTGATACAGGTATGATATAACAAGAATGTTACAAGGTTGGCGACACAAGATCGTAACAATATTGTTATATCATGACTGTATCGGACTTGTTGGAACAACCTTGCAGCAAGTCTGATAATATCAACAAGGTTGTTACAAGTTGTCAACAGCTTGTTCTAAACTTGTTGACAACTTGGTAGAACAAGCAGTGCGAACACAGCTTGTTGACGGCTTGTTGGCAAACTTGCTACAAGATGTGAGATTTTAACGCGTGTAGGTCGAGGGTACACACGTAAAAACTGTCACAACTTGTCAACAAGACGTGTTCGCAACAGACTTGTAGCAAGCTTGTCAACAAGTTGTAACAATGCTGTTATTCTATCAAGTTGCTACAAGGTTGTCATTCACAGCTTGTTGACAAATTGTTAAAGTGGAAGTCAAGTCCGTAATGTAAACAAACGGTTTGTTTACATTTTGAACTGCTGTATTTTTTAAGATATGATGTACTGTCTGAATATCTAACACCATTTTGGTTTGCTATGCTTCTAAATGAATATGAAATAAAGTTTATGTTCAGAAAAATTCGAAAAAATTCGAAATTTCGGCAATTTTCAAATTAGAGGTCCTCACATTGTTATGCGCAGAACCGATGCGCAGAATGGACTTGACTTCCCCTTTAAATTGCAGGACGATAACAAATTGTTGAAACAATGTAACAAGTCTGTTGAACTCAACAACTTTGTAGCACGTTGTCAACAACTGTTGGCAACTTGTCAACAAGCTGGGAACAAGCAGTGCGAACACATCCTGTTGACAAGTTGTCAGTGGAACAGCATTGCTACAAGTCTGTTGCAGGTTTGTACAACTTGTGCGTATACCACTGATAATTAGCACCAGCATATATTTCACAGAATTGAAATATTACAAATTAACAGTGTTATATTGTAAACCTTAGACATCGATGAAATTGAAAGTTAATTTTAACAAGTGATTCACACATCGAAAGGAACAGAATGCTCAGTTATATAAACTATGGTTCTTGTCATTTTTTTTTTCAGAATTCGAAAACTGGTTGTCAAGTTTCAAAAAGCAAGAACTTTAAAAGAAAACATAAATTAACATTGTGTGTGTCTATCGTGAAATTATATAGTATTATTGATGCTGTAAAATTGACGCCATATTTATGCAGCAATATAAGCAAAACTTACTGAACTTCAGACATCATTTTCTCTTTGGCGTACCATCTAAAATCTCTTCATTTTAGCATTATTTTACAGATAAAGCACTAAACTTACTTTGTAAGTTTGCTTGCCGCTTGAAAAACATATCAAAAATTTAAAAAATTGAATATAACCAAGTAGTTTTTATTTATAAGCGCGTGTTCGATAATATACAAAATATTCTCCTCTGTAATATCTCATGATGTTGTTTTATGTCAATTTTATTATCTTATTTTTTCGGTTTATATAAAACGAAGATTTTAGTGATGCTGTGTCAAATTTGCTAATCACTATAATTTTGTACAAAACGTAGTTGTGAATATTAGGCCCCGTTTACACTACGCTCAATTTTTGGTACCGTACCACTTTTTTGGACTACCTAAATACATGTAGGTAGTCCAAGAACAAAAAAGTGGTACGGGTACCAATTTTATCCGTGCCGTACCAAAAATTGAGCGTAGTGTAAACGGGGCTTTAGTAGTTCATTACGCATTTAAGGGCCGGTCATTAGTATTTATGGCGGGGGAGGGGGGGGCACCGAAGACTCGAAGAGAAATGTTTTTGTTGGTAAAATTTTTCTGATCCAACCATCAAAAAGTCAAAAAAATTTTACCCAACCTCAAATATCAATTTAGAAATCAATTCCCACCCTTAGCCAAAAAAATTACAAAAGGATATCATTCAGTTGTCACCGGCATGTCCTTTACCACTTCTGTGACAAGAGTTTGATAATTGCTTGTGTAATTTTCTGCAGTCTAAAGTTTCATGTTGTCTGCACATGTACTTTCTTTGGAGACACCATTTGCCTCCCGAGAAATCGGAAAATGATCAAGATAGTGACCCTGATTGGTTTACATATTGACATATTGTATTGACATATGACCGTTGACATTGCTTTTTAGTTTATAATTTTTATTACCCAACCCTTGAGTTGTTTTGTTTTTCATTTACCCAACCATTTAACAAATTCAAAATTTTGTCTACCCAACCCTCAATCTCGTATCCAGAGTCATCAACGAGATTGCCCAACCCTTTTCTATACTCCAAAAACAACATTGAGATCAGTGGCCGTCAATAGCCGACTGCAGGCTCAGATCTGATAATCATACGCAATACTTGATGTCCGCTGCATGATTTGTCTTCGTTGTGAAAGTAGCAAAGTGATGCATTGAGCAATGAGCATTGATGTTTAGAAAGGGATCAGAATAATTCTTCATCAAAATACATGGAAATCCGTACGATTTTGTAATTCAGGTATTAAAATAAACGATCTTATTGTTGGAGGTGTCATATTTTCCTGTATTTTATTGCGATTTTATGCTCAAAGCGTTTAATTTAATAGACATCAATTGATCAATATTCAAAAGAAATTTACAACCAAATGGTCAATTAACTAAAGCGCATCGAAGGATCCAAAGATTGAATTTCTTTAAAAATAACCTCAACATCAATGATGCAAAGCTTTTTAAAACTCGGTTTAACATTAAAGGCATACATTCTATTTTCAATTTTTCAATATGCTGCTTGTGAGCGACTGGTATATTCTATCACGGCTGAAGTAGGGGCAGGAAATATCACACATTACAGCCTCAAGCAAGAGGGTACTATAACATTAATTCTGAACAGTATCGTTGGTGATGCGGATATATACGTATCAGAGACTAACACGAAACCGGACTACAGTGATTATGATTTGCAATCCGTGACTTGCGGTCAGGATATAGTAACCATACCAAAAGAATTCAACCGTCCTGTGGGGATAGCTATATTTGGACATGTGTATTTTCCATTGTCTAAATACGAGCTGACGGTTGTACTGGATTACAATGCAAGTGGTTCGGGCCAAGACAAGAGTTCTTATGCAGATTTTTTCCACGGAGAAGAGGGATCTAACGAATCAACACTTTGGGTTATTTTTGTCAATATCTTGAAAATTATCCTTGAGATTTTGGCCTAACGACATCAGTGGTCCCTGTCTACTGTGAGAGGGGATTATGCTTCAAATATATTTGTGCCTATATGTAGTGCTTAAAATTTTATGGAATTCAGCAAATAGTAACTGCTCTTTGCAGTGTGGATTATAACGGTCAGCTATTTGCCGAACAAAAACACTAAATGGCCGATTAATTTTATTCTGTACGGACATGTTAACTGATCAGATAAAATATGCAGTTTTTACTAAAATTAAGCACTGTTCCAAATGCACGCAAGAAAAAGAACACAACAAATTTATGGTTCCAGACATGCAGAAAACAATAGCGGCCAATATCGTTGGGACTACTTACCAAAAGTTAAGTACAATTGGTCGTGATTGTTCATGCTGGAAGTGACCAGCATGATCAATCAAATTGAATCAATGTAAATATTGAAAAGCTGGCCGACCATTATGTCCAAGCAATTGCACACTTGAACGGACATTTGTTAGACCCAAGCAAAGTTGTTATAATCCACACTAGTTAGGCAGTTGCGATATTGAAAACAATCGATATCGAAAAATAATATCGACTATATCGAATTATGCAAATGAGAAAACGTAATTTAGTCAACTTGCATGTATATGCATCACAAACAGTTAAAAAGAAGTGCATGAAACCAGTCATGGTACGTCCATCTCCAACTCGGCTTTTAATTTCAATTGCCCATGCACTTGTATCATAAATTCGCAATTGCCGCCATGCACACATTGTCTAAACTTCACCGATGAAAACAATAATTGCCGAATAATCGGAGATTATGTTGTTCAGTTACAACTTTGATATTTTCAATATGCGAAAAATTGAATATTCGATATTTTTGAAATATCAATATTTATTGGAAATATTGATATATCGCAACTGTCTAACACTAGTGATTTGCATTTCAAGATGAGGTCAAGTCTGTTCTGCTCATGTGCTATGCAAGGACACTCTAGTGCAAACAATATCTAAATTTTGTGTTGTTTTGACATCTTCTAAATTGAAACTCTATTTGAAAGCATAGCAAATCAGAAAAATATTAGATATTAACTAAGTGCATCATATTTTATGAATATTGTGTGCTCAAAATGTAAACAAACCACATATCTGCCAAACAGACTTGACCCTAGCCTGCGTGGCAGGCCCTCAATTTTATGGGGGGCCTGATTTGCAGCGGGCAGGATTTTGGTGGGCTCCGGGGGAGGATTGCAGGGCCGTAGCTAGATTGCTAATTGGGGGGGGGGGG